ATACTTTACATGACTTTTCCATCTGTGTTCATAAGACAGATTGGCCACTAATATCCTTTTTCATACTTCCCATTACTGGTTTGAAAATCAAAGTTATATTAGCCCCACAAAATGAGTTTGAGTGTTGTATTCTTTCATTCTCTAAAAGCTTGTAGGAGATTCAAATTAGATATTCCATTAAATGTTTGCTAAAGGTATGCCTGGGTGGCTCAGTCAGTTAAGTGTCTGCCTTCACCTCAGGTCATGATCTCGGGGTTTTGGGATCGAGCCCTGCATCGGGCTCCTCACTTAGCCCAGAGCCTTCTTCTCCCTCTCCCTCTGCCCCTCCACCCTGCTTGTGCTCTCTCTCTCTCTCTCTCTGTCTCGCTCTAGCTCAAATAAATAAATAAAATCTTTAAAAAAAATAAATGTTTGCTAGAGCTTGCCCTGTTGTAAGACTTCTTTGTAAGCCATCCATATTAATTCTTTGTCTGGTAATATATATTATAAATATTTCTTTTCTGTCTTTTAATTTTCCCCATACATATTTATTATAAAGACATGTTTAAAGGTTATGGAGTCAAACTTGAGCATCCTTTCATGGTTTTGTGTATTGCTCAGGAAAGTTTTCCCTACCACAAGTTTGTTTTTATTGATTTATTTTACTACAAAATTTAAAAAAAAACACTTTCCTCCAGGTTTTAATAGTTTGTTATCATTATATTTAGATCCCTAATTAATCTATCCAGGAATATATTTTTGTATACTAACATAGAAATTTAACTTGAAATTTTTTTTAAAGATTTTATTTATTTATTTGACAGACGGAGATCACAAGTAGGCAGAGAGGCAGGCAGAGAGAGATGGAGAAGCAGGATCCCTGCTGAGCAGAGAGCCCGATGCGGGACTCGATCCCAGGACCCCGGGATCATGACCTGAGCTGAAGGCAGAGGCTTTAACCCACTGAGCCACCCAGGCACCCTTAACTTGAAATTTTAAAAAATCTTTTATTTATTTATTTGAGAGAGAGAGAGCATGAGTACAAGGAGAGGGAGAGAGAGAAGCAGACTCCCTGCTGAGAGGGAGCCTGACCTGGGGCTTGATCCCAGGACTCTGGGATCATGACCTGAGCCAAAGGCAGATGCTTACTTCACTGACTGAGACACCCAGGTGTCCCATAAGTTGAATTTTTTTCTGACTATGTATCCAGTTGCGTTAACATGTACTGACTGGGCTACTCTTTCCTCAGTGACATTTATTTATTTATTTATTTATTTATTTATTTATTTATTTTTTTAAGTAAGTTCCATGCCCAGTGTAGAGCCCAAAATGGGGCTTAAACTCACAATCCTGAGATCAAGACCTGAGCTGAGATCACAAGTCATAGGCTTGGGGCTCCTGGGTGGCTCAGTGGGTTAAGCCTCTGCCTGTGGCTCAGGTCATGATCTCAGGGTCCTGGGATCCAGCCCCACATCGGGCTCTCTGCTCAGCAGGGAGCCTGCTTCCCCTCCTCTCTCTCTGCCTGCCTCTCTGCCTACTTGTGATCTCTCTCTCTGTGTCAAATCAATAAATAAAATCTAAAAGAAAAGAAAAGAGTCATAGGCTTAACTGACTGAGCCACCTAGGTTCCCCTCCTCAATGACTTCAAATTTAACCTTTATCATAAACTAAATATATACACCTTTCTCATAAATAAAACATGATAAATGTGTGTGTGTGTGTGTGTGTGTGTGTGTGTGTGTGTGTGTGTGTGGTCTTCCTCTTTTTTTTTTTTTTTTTAAGAAAAAAATCTATTCTTGGGCTGATAAAACACTATTTGGATCACTCCCTTATAGTATGCTTTGATCTGTGGTGGGGAAAGACATTTCTCTTTTGCTTTTTCAAATTTTCTTGATTATTTCATGTCGTTTTTCTCCTGGAATATCTACCCAACATGGGGCTTGAACTCACAACCCCAAGATCAAAAGTTGCGTGCTCCACCAACTGAGCCAGCCAGGTGCCCCTAGGTTAATCTGACATCTTTGCAACATTGAGTCTTCCTATCCAGGAATGTGGGTATATAACTTTCCATTTATTCAGGTTCTCCCTGCCCCTTAAGAGCTATATATGACTGGCCCAACCTCTAGTCCATGATTTGTGGGTCCAAAGCCCTCCCTACAATTTCTCTTGATCAGCCCCTACTTTGAGTTTCACTTTCCACTGAAATGGTTCAGGTTCTAAGCCCAAGTGTCATAGGTTACATTATCCAATGGTGGCTGCACCGGTATATGTTCTATCCCACTCCCCCACACACATATACTCCACACTCCTCTTCAGATGTTTTTACATTTTAAAAAAAAATATTTTATTTGATAGAGAGAGTGTGCGTGTGTGCAGGAGACCCAGGGAGAGAGAGAGAGAGAGCTCGAGCGCACAAGCAGGGGGAGTGGCAGGCAGAGAGAGAAGGAGAAGCAGCCACCCCACTGAGCAGGGAGCTGGATGTGATGTGGGACTCCATCCCAGGACCCTGGGATCATGACCTGAGTCGAAGGTAGATGCCTAGACACCTAACCGACTCAGCCACCCAGGTGCCCCGAAATGTTTTTATGTTGATACTGGTTCATCAGGAGGTAGAGTCTCTGTTGCCTCCCCTTGAAACTGGGCAACCCCTTGAAACGGCCTGGACCAAAAGAATGTGGTAACATTGATGCTGTGTGACTTCAGTCCTCAGAAGCAATTCTGCTGCGGTCTGGTGTTTCCCTCTCTCTTTGAGCTGCTGTGTTGGAAGTTCAGCTACCTTGACGCTGCCATGCTGGAGAGACCCTATGGAAAGCCCACAAACAGATAAAGGAGAGAGCATCCCAAGAAATCCCAGCTGTTCCAGCTCCAGCTGTTGGAGGCTTCCTAGTCCAGACATCAGACACATGAGTGAAGAAGCCTTCTAGACGAGCCAAGCCCAGCCACCATCTGGCTGCAACCTCGTAACAGACCTTGATCAACAGAGACACTCCTGAATTCCTGCTCCAAGAAATTGCTGCTTTGAGCCACTATGCTTTTCAGAGTTCCTCCTATGCAGCAATAGACAACTAACACACTCATGTGTGCTATCCAGATGTAAGGAGCATCCCCTTTCCATAATTTACACACACACAGAGGAAAACCTACTCTCATGAGGCCTTCGTGTGTTTAGCCCACAAAGAGATGAAGAAATGAACAACATAAAAATCAACAACTTTGGCCACCCTATTTCAGAGAAGTTCCTTCCACCTGTTGCCCTCCCACGTGGGGCAACACCCACCATCGCTCCCCACCTCCTCTCATCTTACTTCCTATAAACTCCAAATTCCTCCTCACTCTGTTAAGCACAGCAATCAAGTTCTCTCAAGCCCCCTTTTTCCCAGCTCAGCTCCAGGAACTCCTCTCAAAGCCCAGCGCCCTCTGTTCACGTGCTGCGTGGGACTGTACTTTGCTAGGTTCCTGAGGGTTTTCTCCTTGTCTATTTTGGCTGATCTTGTGGCTTTCTCCCCCACACTGGGTACAGGGCTGGTAAACACAGTGTCCTCCATAAATCATAATGAAAGTGGGGCACCTGGGTGGCTCAGTCTGTTAAGCATCTGCCTTCAGCTCAGATTGTGATCCCAGAGTCCTAGGATCGAGCCCCCCCCCCATCAGCTTCCTGCTCAGCGGGAAGCCTGGTTCTCCCTCTCCCATTTACCTTGCTTGTGTTCCCGCTCTCGCTGTGTGTCTCTCTCTGTCAAATAAATAAAATCTTTTTAAAAAATCATAAGGAAAGCTAAAATTTATGAAACACCTACTATGTGCTTCAGCAAAGCTAACTACTTCATAAGGCATGATCTCATCCAATCTTCACAAAAACCCTGTAAGGTGGAGACTATCATTATCCCCTTTTACAGAAGAGGAAACGGAGACACTATCCAGTTTTAGGTGCCTGTGGTCTTAGTGACAGATTCCAAAGCACTTTACCAATATCGCTTAAGGGAATGAAAAGGAATCTAAGAGACTGGGAGAGAGGAGATGCTGGACAGGTGGGTTTTGGAAACTCTGAATAGGGGGATGGTGGTTTCATGAAGGTCACACACACACCCCGACCCCCACGAGAGAAAACCAGGCCCTAGAGACTCCCGGGCCTAAAGAAGCTGCAGTGAAGCAACAGGAGAAGGAAGAGGGCTGGACCGTCGGGCCTGGGCAGGGAAGGCTTCACGGAGAGAATGGCCAAGGGCAGTTCCAGGAGCAACGAAAACACCGTGCTTCAGGGGGCCCTGAAGAGGGGCTGGGCCTCACCGGTGGCCTCCAAGAAGACTGATGTCCTAGCCTGGGGGAAGCAGGGAGGAGAGAGGGAGATGAGGGAGTTTGGAGGTAGGGCACAGACAACTGCACTATAGAGTTGGCGGTGAAGCAAGAAGGAAGAGGTGGACGGGGGTGTTCCCGGGATGGCTGATCCAGGAAGGGCTTGCGAGGGTTTTCACACGGAAGAGGAATGATGGTCTGTGGAATTGGGCGAGGTGGGTGGAGGCCTCTGCTCCAAGGTCTGCAGGACCTAGGACTCGCTCTCGGCCGCCTGGGCCCTGGAGGAGAGAGGACGGACCCAGGCCGGGGCTCTCGGGCAGAAGTGGCTGAGGACGGCTCAAGCGATCGGGCGCGGGCTGCGGGTCAGGGAGAAGGTGCCGGGCCCTGGAGGTCAGGCTGGAGGAGGACGGCCCTGCGCCTCCTCCCAGAGAAACGGGACCACGGTCTCAGTTCTGCGCCCCGGCGGCTCCTCGGGCCGCAGAGGGTGGGCGCCGGCGGCGGGAGGGAGCGGGGCGGAGCTGGGCGCAGGGCGCCGGCCGCCCACCCCCGGCCCTCCTCCCTTGGCGCTCTCAGGTGACAGACCCCGCGGCCCCCGCCCCGCCCCGCCCCGCCGCATATTCCCGCCGCCCCGCCTGCCCCGTCGGAGAGCAGCCAGCGCCGCCGCGCCCAGAGCCTCTGCGGGCCGGTACGAGCGTGGACCTGGGCACCCGTCCTCCGCGACCCTGCTGCCCGCCATGGCCGCCGCGGCCGCCCCCCGCAGCCTCCTGCTGCTCCTCCAGGTGCTCGGGCTCGCCCTGGCGCAGATGGTAAGTCCCGCGGCCGTCCCTGCGGGGGGGCCGGGGTGCGGGGAGTGGGGTTTAGGGTGAGTGACCCAGGAAGGCTGGTGAAGGGTTCGGCCTGTCTCCCGCTCGCCTGGCAGGCACCCTCCGACCCCGGCTGGGCGCAGCCCCGAGGCGCCCGTCCCCTCTCTGGGTGTGAATGCAGGGCGCGCCCCGGTGCCGCGAAAGGAGGCAGACGAGCCGGGGAGCCGGAGGGACCCTGTCCGCAGACGCTCGGCCCAGCCTGGGACACGCAGCGTGGACAGGAGCTGGCGCCCGGTCCTGGCAGCCCCGAGAGCCCAGGTGGCGCGGGAGACAATGGTGCCCATTCACGGGGCTCCGGAGCCTCCGCCCCGCCTCCTCTCGGGGGGCGCCGGCTCCAGCCAGACGCCGCTTGGGCCCGGCTGCTGCCTCTCGGTCCCGCTCCGGCTCCTGCGCCCCCGTCGCGCTGCCGAGTGTCGCCGGAGGATTGGGGGGGCCTAATGGGCCGGGCGCACGACGGGGCTGGGCGCGGGCTCCAGGCTGGCACTTCTCGCCCGGGAGGGCGAGGGCACCTGGCGGGCGCGGGCCCCCTGCCTGGGTCGGGCTGGCCCCCGTCTGAGGACAATCTAGGGGAGGACGGAGGAACGGTGCTGGGAGAGGGGTGCTCTGAGGGGAAGGGAGAACACACTTCCCTTCCCTACGTCCCCTCTCGCTGCGCCTCCCCCACTTTCCTTTCGGGTTTACCCGCACTGGGGGGTGGGGGGGGTTACCTGTTGTTCACCTAAAAATAATAACACGAGCAACCGTTGATTGGAGCCAACCGTCTGCTGGGCACCGCCTCCCCTGCCAGCCGTGACTCCTTGCGCCATCAGCATCTCCATCTCTTCCCCACCGCGACGGCGCGAGGGCAGCCGTGGTCCCGTGGAAGGAGGCGGGCGGCCCTAACCCGGAGTCCCGGCTCCACCGCTTACTCTCCGCGATCATTCCTAATCTTTCTGAGCCTGTGTCCTCAACTGCAAACTGGGGCTCGTCCTAGTATCCGCCCCCCCCCCCCCCTCTGAGCATTCCCTAAAATGAATATACCTCGGGGTGCACAGTGCGGGACACAGCAGGTTCTCAGTACAAAGAAGGACGCAGTTTTTTCCCGGGGAGGTTCATGGCTGGGACGCCCGGCTCCCTGCACAGTCTGAGGGCTGCACCCCTGTGTGTGTTTTCAGAGAGGTCCGCCCGGAGAACCGGGGCCCCCGGGCCCCCCCAGGGCCGCCGGGAGTGCCTGGATCTGACGGCATCGACGTGAGTCTCTAACCTGGGACGGGAGGGGGAGGGAAGCTGCGGACAAAGGGGAACTTTGTGAGCCCGGGTGTGGGGGTGGGGGTGGGGGGCTGGAAGCCCCGGCGGTGGGGTCGGTGCCTGCAGATGCAGCGCCCCCTGTGGTGAGTAGGCGGCGCCGGCCTGCGCCACAAGGAGACCGTTTGTTCTTGGAAAACCTCAAACCAGCCCTGAGATGGGGAGCCCAGAGCCCGTTATAGCCGCCCGCGGACAAGGAGCTGCTGTTACCGTCTGCCCGCCGGAGCTCCCACCGATCCCTTATCCCCCACCCCTACTCTCCCGTCTTTTTTGGGGTGGGAGACGCCTTAACATCTCGCTCTGCCCCCTGGCACATCCGGATGCTTCTTCAGGTTGGCTTGGAAGCCTTGGACAGACCGCTGACCAGCCGAAGCTAGACTCCTGTCTCTCCCTTTGCATTTTTCTCCCCGATTTAGAACCAGCAGGCCTTGTTCCCTGCTCTCCCTAGCATGGGGAGGGTTAAATGCCTCATTCAGGAGGCTCCCCCAGGAGGCCAGCTCCATGTTTACCCGTCTGGACAGACTTCTATTTAACCTGGTGCCCCCCTCCACCCCAAACACAGGGCGCTGGGTCCCCGCCAGGCTCTCTGGCCGTTGCAGGCCCTGGACGCCTAGAAGGCCTCTCTGCGGTGGACTGGGACTCCACAGGCCATGTCTATCTGCCACCATGAGTCCTTTGTCGCTGGGGGAGGACATCCTGCCTGCCTTGGGAACAGACTGAATCGGCCCCCTTCGCAGGCCCTCTGGGTCCTTGTCCTTTTCTTTTCCTGACCCCAATCCAAAAAAAGAGGAGCTGCCCACCCAGCTCTCCTCCCCTTCATGTTTTTCTGAAAGTCCCAAATTTCTTCCACCCTCGCCCAAATCCAAGAGGCACCCACTCTCTGAGGTAACTTGGAGCCGGCAGCCCTCTCTGCAGGCCTGTCACTGGCACCTCAGCGACACCTGTGTGCCTGTAACCCGCAAGCCTGTGGACAACCTCCTCTCCCGCCTGGCTGCAGGTGGTCTCAATCCACCTAGGTTTGGGGGTTTTTTAGTTTTGTTTGTTTTTTGTTTTTGTTTTGAGGGAAAGGAAGGTATTACAAATTTTAAAAATTAAAAAAAAAAAAAAAAAAAAAAGCAAGGCTGAGGGGACCCGGGCAGAAGAAAAGAGGGTGAGGAGATCAGCATGTGGGATCAGCCAGGGCCTACATGTGACCATTTGCTCTAGCACGAGCCCCAGGAGGCTGCCTGACCAACTTGTATCTTTCAGGGTGACAAGGGGCCCCCGGGGAAAGCTGGCCCTCCGGTGAGTGCTTTTTCACCTTTGACCTTTGACCCTTCCAGTTCTTGCCCTCCTCTGGCTAATATTTGGCCCACCTCTGTCTTTAAGGGACCTAAGGGAGAGCCTGGCAAAGCAGGGCCAGATGGGCCCGACGGGAAGCCTGGGATTGATGTGAGTACCTGAGTGTGAGCTAAAGTAGGTTTGGGGGACGCCTGGGTGGACGCCTGGGTGGCTCAGTGGGTTAAAGCCTCTGCCTTTGGCTCCGGGTCATGATCTCGTGCTCCTGGGATAGAGCCCCACATCAGGCTCCCTGCTCAGTGGGGAGCCTGCTCCCCCCACCCCCTCTCTGCCTGCCTCTCTGCCTACTTGTGATCTCTATCAAATAAATAAATAAAACTTTTAATAAATAAATAAATAAATAAACAAAGCAGGTTTGGGCTCCACCCACTGACTTCCAGAGCCCCATTCAGGCATCTTCCCTGCTCTTTTGTTCAGAGCAGGACAGCAGAGACTGTAGAGCTATGAGTTCCCTTCACCTTCATATGACCCATGACTTTATGGCTGCCCTAGAAGCATGAGTCATGGGCACATGGGGGCCCAAAGAGGGATTCTGTTCACCTGCAGCCGATTTAGTCTCACTTTTCTCACAATTTCTGGCCTCCAAGTATCAGATTGAATCCTATAGATGGAGCTGGCCTTTCTTTCCCCCATCCCTGCCTTACCCTGCCCCCTCGAAGCCCCAGGAGCAACTCAGGAAACGAAGATTATCCGCTGATACCACAGAATTCCCAGGGGCTCCAAGGTCATGAGCTTCTGGACACAGCCAGGACTGTTGGGACAGTCATCTGATTGAGGAATACACTTGGGTCAATCACTAAAAGATCGGAGGGAAAAGAGATCCCATGAAGTGCCTTTGTCCTGCTGCCTCAAGAGGGGTCACAGGAGCTATGAGCAGCTCCACGGCCTCTCCAGATTTTCCCCACCCTGCAAAAATTAAAAAGTACATAGCCTTGGGCGTCTGGGTGGTTCAGTGGGTTAAGCCTCTGCCTTCGGCTCAGGTCATGATCTTGTGGTCCTGGGATCGAGCCCTACATCGGGCTCTCTGCTCAGCAGGGAGCCTGCTTCCCCCTCTCTCTGCCTGTCTCTCTGCCTACTTGTGACTTCTCTCTCTCTGTCAAATAAATAAATAAAATCTTAAAAAAAAAAACAAACCAAAAACCATGGCCTTCCACTAGCACAATGGTTCTCACATGTATGCAGAGAGGTAAACATGATTAACCCATTCTGCAGATGTGAACAATAAGGTTCAGGAAACGTTGCCAAGGGCAGACGTCAAGAAATGGCCCATCCCGGGGTGCCTGGGTGGCTCAGTGGGTTAAGCTGCTGCCTTCGGCTCAGGTCATGATCTCAGGGTCCTGGAATCGAGTCCCACATCGGGCTCTCTGCTCAGCGGGGAGCCTGCTTCCCTCTCTCTCTCTGCCTGCCTCTCTGTCTACTTGTGATCTCTCTCTGTCAAATAAATAAATAAAATCTTAAAAAGAAAAGAAATGGCCCATCCAGACCAACATCTAGGTCTTCCAGGCTCCTAAACTGGGAGGTGTGAAGCCGATGCAGATAAATCTTTGGGCCTTGGTTTCTCATCTTTTGAAAGAGGGTAATCGTTCTGCCTGCTTGCCTCCCAGGGTTGCTGTGGGAACTGGGGGAAGAGAAAACAAGGTGTTGGGGCCCCTCATCCTTCATGGAGTGGGGTAAAAGGCAGCTTGGTCCCACCCAGGAGTGACCTCAGGCCCTAGCTTGTCCCATGTTTCAGGGGTCAGGTCTGCCCTTTACTGATCTACCTTCTTCTTCTTCCTCAGGGTCTAACTGGAGCCAAGGGGGAGCCTGGCCCCATGGGGATCCCTGGAGTCAAGGTTAGTGGCCCGCTGGGGGCTTGGCTTGGGCAGTCTTAGGGAGGGTCTATAGTAAGAGGAGCGGGGACACAGGAGACCCCAGCCTCTGAACCTCTCCCATTGCTCTTTCAGGGCCAGCCTGGTCTCCCAGGTCCCCCTGGTCTGCCAGTGAGTGTAATCTGCAAGGGTTTCAAGGAACCCTTTGGGGGGCGGCGGGCAGGGGGACTTGCAAAAGGAGCCATGAACCCAATCTCCTTTCCTTCTGTTCCAGGGCCCTGGCTTTGCTGGACCTCCTGTAAGTCCTCTTGGATGGGGCAGGGCCCCTGGGACTCTTGGGGAAGGAAACAGAAGGGCTTTTGGGGGACTGGCCATCCAGGGGAGGGGCCGGCACACTGTGATGGTGTCAGGAATGGGCAGATGTGCCTGAGAACTCTGGGCCAGCCACACAGGGCCTGTCGGCAGGCCCTGGAATTCTCTGGGCTTGGTTGCAAAGTAAAAGTGGGGAAGGGGCTTATCTTTGTGTCAGGGTGGGCTAACCCTCCGAGGCAGCCTGGCCAGTGATGCCTCTGCTCTTAGGGGCCACCCGGACCTGTTGGCCTCCCAGGCGAGATTGGAGTCACAGGCCCCAAGGTGAGCCCCAGCCACCCCTCTGCTCACTCCGCCTCCTGCCCTTTACCTCCAAGCTGGCAAGCTGGGGAGTCTCGCCAGTAGCTCCTGAGCCTCCTTCTGGCCAGCAGAGGGGTCTTCTAGGTTTGGGGCAGAACCCCCTTGTGCTGAGCCCACTCACCTCTAGGTCTTTCAGGGAAACCAAGGGCTGGGGCCATCCCAGATCACAGAAAGTGACCTGGAGGACAGGGTCGGCTGGGCAGTAGCAGGGACCCGGGGGTGGGGGGTGGGGGGAAGATGGGGAAGGGAGAATGGGGGAATGGCAGAGCTGGGTGGGAATATGATTTGGCCCCTCTTGCTTCCAGGGGGATCCTGGACCAGAGGGGCCATCGGGGCCCCCAGGGCCACCCGGCAAACCGGTAAGTGTCCTCAAACTTCCCACGTGGGTAAGAACAAGGGTCTCTGGCACAAACCTGGGGTGGAAAGTTTCGGGTCAGGCTCCATCTTCATACATCTCCTCTCAGGGCCGACCTGGAACCATCCAGGGCCTGGAAGGCAGCGCGGAATTCTTGGTGAGGAGGCCGTGGGCCGGGGCTAATGGGAGCAAGGGGTGGGTCCTCTTCCGAGGTAGAGTCAGGGCTCTGGGGAGGGGCTGTGGCACAGAGGTTCAACCAAGTGGGGTGAGAGGAGGATTTGGGAGTTGGCAAGCTGGGCAGCACTGCCCAGATGACCTGAGCAGGCCGGTGAGCACAGAACCCAGTGGGATTTTCTTTCCAGTGTCCAACCAACTGTCCAGCGGGGGTGAAAGGCCCCCCAGGGCTGCAGGGAGTGAAGGTAAGCTACTGGCACAGTCTTTGTGGGGGGCAGAGCAGGTGTTTGGGAGGGGACCCCACATGGAGTTCCCTCCTTCCCTCCAGGGGCATCCTGGCAAACGTGGGGTTCTGGGAGATCCTGGCCGCCAGGGGAAGCCGGTGAGTGTGTAGGAAGAGGGCCTAACAAGAGCCTTCCCTTCTTCATCCCTTCTCCTTCCCCTATGGGTCTCTGGGGACTGAGCTTTGAGCTGAGAGGCAGGAGGCCTATGTTCCAGGTCATTTTGCCCAGGCAAATGTCCCATCTGTCACAAAGGACTACATGGGTTCTAGGGTCCTTCCTGTCTGCTTTTTCTGGGAAGGGGACAGTATCTTTGGTTTTCTGTATGTTTGTCTCTCCATCTGCCTGCCTGTCTGATCACTCATTCCTGCCCCATAGGGTCCCAAAGGAGATGTGGGTGCCTCTGGAGAGCAAGGCATCCCTGGACCACCGGTAAGGAACACTTTCCCCCGGCCCTCCCCTCCCCATCCCAGGAGATCTTAGTGGAGCCATTCCCTGGGTTTGGCCTCCAACCTGTAGAAGAAACACCTGTGTCCAATTGGCATGTCTCTGGGTGGGGAGAGAGCAGCTGAGGCTGTCAGAAATTGAGGGACAGGAACTAAGGCTTTCAGCCAGAAGACCCAGCCAAGGCCCTAGCTTTACCACTGTCCCCTGAGTGACCCTGGTGAGCACCTCCCCGATCGCTGAGCCTCAGCGTCCCCTCTCTGAGATAAGGACTATGCTGCCTGCCTCCTAGGGGCATTGTGAAGATCAGGGGTGGGGATCAAAGAAGATATGATGAAGTGGGCCTTTAAATTGACATTGCTGTCATTCTTCTGTCTTGACAGGGTCCCCAGGGCATCAGGGGCTACCCGGGCATGGAGGGACCCAAAGGAGAGACGGTAAGTAAGTAGGGCGTGGAATGCAAGGGTTGTCACGATCAGCGCTCTGGCCTCTGGGGTCAAGCCTGGACTGACTGTAACTCTTTCCTCTCCCCAGGGTCCTCGTGGGTACAAAGGCATGGTGGGCTCCATTGGTGCCTCTGGGTCACCAGTAAGTATCCTCTTGCTCCTGTACACATACCTCCTCCTGCTGGAGCTCCTAGGGCTGCAAAGGGAATGTGGCTCCCCGGAGCCCATGTGATCTAAATTCATTTGTCCTTCTTTCCAGGGTGAGGAAGGTCCACGGGGGCCACCAGGCCGAGCAGGGGAGAAGGGCGATGTGGTGAGTACTCAGCAACCCCTTGTTCAGTCAGGGGTCCTGGAGAGTACTTGGAGAGGCTCAGCTCCCCGCCAGGGCTCCTGTGTGAGCGGGTGCGTGCATTAGCCTGTGTGTCTTTGAGGCTGCATGTGTGCGAGTGTGTACTACTCTGTGTCTGTGTGGCTGCATGAGTGTGTGTGCGAGCATTACTCTGTGGGTCTCTGCGGGTGAGTGACCAGTGTGGGGCAGGAGCCTCTGTGCTAGGGGCCCAGTCACCCCACCAGCCCTCACTTCTGCAAGCCCAGCCTGTGCTGATCAAATTCAATTTGGGAGAAGCCATGGGATCCAGTCCCAGGCTCATTGCGACCAGACAATGAAATTCCAGCAAATCAGCCATGGGGCTAATGGGATTTGGTCCACATCCCAATTCTCTTAACTTTTTTTTTTAAATTAATATACTTCATTCCTGAGCAGTTTTGAGTTTATAGAAAAATTGAGCAGAAAGTAGCCTTTTTATTTATTATGGAACTTTTTAACATATATAAAAGTAGAGACTTATATAATGAACCTCCATATCCTTGTCTCCCCAAATTGACATTTTGCCACCGCTGTTGCTCATATTTTTAAGCAAATCCCTTAATATCATGTCACTTATCCCTAAATACTTCTGTATGCCTCTCTTAAAAACAAGGACTTTTTTCTCCTATAATCCCAGTATCTTTATTATCATACCAACAACATTATCAATGATTCCTTAATATCAGCAAATAACCAGTCTGTGTCCCGTGTTTCCCAGGTACCTCAAAAATGTCTCCTCACGGTTCTTGTTCAAATCAAAACCCAAACAAAGTCCAAACATTGTATTTAGTTGTTATGTTTCTTCAATAAATGGTGCTCAGAGCACAGGTGAGAGAGGTCTCAGTGAGCACTGGATCCTTCCCCTGCACTGCCCAGCCTGGCCCAGGCCCAGGCCCAGGCCCAGGCCCATCACCTCAGCGCTGACCTTGACTCCCTCCCAGGCCTCTCTCCTCCAGCCCCTGCACAGTGTGGGCTATTCCAAGGGGGATCCTGGGACCTGGAGGTCACTCTTCTCAGCTGCTTCCCTCTCTGAACAGGCAGACGGGGGTTCAGCTTCCTGAAGGTGACCTCATTTCTATCTACTTTGCAGGGCAGCCAAGGTGTTCAAGGACCCCAGGGAATAACAGGCCCAAAGGGAGCAACCGTAAGTGGCCTGGGCCTACCCAGACAGAGAGCAGGGTCAGCTCTGTCCAAGCTATTAGAGGATGAGGAGCCTGGGATTCTAGACTGAACTCTTTTGCAGGCGGGCTGCTCTATGACCTTGGCAAATGTTCTCTTTGCTGTGCCTTAGTTCTTTCACCTGTAAATAGGGCATGTGGTGATGTAGTAGAAGTTTGGGGAAGCTTGTGGCCATCTGGAACACCTATCACCCACACAGAGGAAGGACTGTGGTCCATTCCCCAAAATCCTCTTCCCATTTCTGCTCCCTTCTCCCAGTTGGCTGGTGGGGGTTCTCGAGATAACCAGACCCACTTCTGACCTGTACACGGCAGCTGTCACAGAGGGATATGGCTGGGCAGCCTGACCCCAGGCATCTCCTCACTGTGAGTCTCCCTTCAACTTCTCTTCTGAGCAGGGCCCTCCAGGCATCGACGGCAAGGACGGGACCCCAGGCACACCTGGCATGAAGGTAGGTGCGGAGACTGCTGGTTGGTTGCGGAGGGTCAGGGCCCCTCCCAGCTCAGGCCCTGAGTCTAATCACACTGATCCCAGAGGCCTAGGAGACTGAGATCCTCAAGTGTGTCACTGACACATCCCTCCTCACCTTTGGGCCTCAGTTTCCCTACTTGCACTTGGGTTGAAGCCATGGACTCTCTAGCTGAGCTTTCACTTGTGCCTCTGGTTCTCTGTCTCTCCCAGGGCAGTGCAGGACAGGCGGGGCGGCCAGGAAACCAAGGCCACCAGGGCCTAGCGGTGAGTGTGGGGTGGAGCACTGGGGGCTGCCCCATGGGCAACTTGCTTCTCCTCCTCCATGTTGCCCACTTCCCCATGGTGGGATGAGTGGCTGATGAGGCGGAAATTCACAAACCCAGGGTCCTTGCTATAGTCTCTTGTCCCTACCCAGCCCAGGCCTCATCACTACCTCTGTGGCCTCTGGCCTCGCTTAGGCCTCTTCATTTGGACAGTTGCTCCAGCCTTCTCCTGGACCCTTCTAGTTCTCCATGTTGGCTGCTTCCTGCTCCAGCACCTTCCATGGCCGTCTTTGCCTCCAGGAGAGTCATTCCATCCAGTCATCCAAGAAGTAGTTATTGAGTCCCGAAACCACAATGCTTGTCCTCACAGCTCATCTTCACATTCAAGGACCACCACAATCTGACCCCACCCTATCCTTCCATCCTCATCAGCCACTGTGCTTCTGTGTCCTCTCCTTTCTCCACACGGCCTTGCCTTTTCTACCCCCACACCTTCAGGCCTTTGCAGGTGCCTCTGCCTGGAATGCCCTTCCCCATCTCTCTCAGCCTTCCATGTCCATTGCACACCTTCTGGGAGCCCAGTCCATGGGAGCCCCCCTCCCTCCCTGCTGGGGGTACTGAGGCCAAAGCCAGATATCACGCCCAGGTGCAGACCATGTTCCCATATCGCATGTGCCTGTGAGCGCGGGGTGTTCCTCTTCTCCCCATAGACTATAGACTCCTGTGTACACAGGGCTCAGGACACAGTCAAGTTTGTGATGTCATGGCTGGGCCTTCTGCTGTTTGGCTCCAACAGGCCAGGGCTGAAGAAGGGAGGGAATCTGGATTGGGGGGGGGGGAGGTAAAGCAGCAGGTGCCTGGGGCTCCCCAATGCCAGGGGAGAAACTGATATCAATTTCTTTCTCCAGGGTGTGCCAGGCCAGCCCGGGACAAAAGGAGGTCCAGGAGACAAGGTAAGGTGACTCCAAGCTGGGGACGGATTTGGCTTGATATCAGCAAGGGAGCCTGCAGGCAGGGTCCAGGGATAATGGCTAAAAGACTGCAAGACCCAGGCCTCACCCCAGGTTCAAAGACATGGCCTGGACACAAATCCCTCGGGCCTAACCACCTCCCTCTTGCTGCTTCCCCCCAACCCCTGTGGGGACAAGATGGCATGGACCTGACCAAGAACACTTTCTACCCAAGTCTTTTGGTTCTAGATTCTGTTTAGTGTTCACCAGGCTTCTCCAAGGTCAAGGGCTTGACTGTCCCTGCTCCCTCCCCCAGACTCACCTTAAACCTGTGTTTTCCTGCAGGGTGAACCAGGCCAGCAGGGCCTCCCTGGATTCTCTGGTTCTCCTGGGAAGGAGGTGAGTGCCTTTCCCCTGACACAGGGCTCTTGCTTTGGTCCCCCTCCCAGGCCTGAAGACCCTGCACTCAGTATGGGGGCCGGGGTGAGAGTGTGGGGTGAAGCCCTAGTTTTGGGGGTGATCAGGAAGCTAGTCTGGGTTGTGCCACTGACCCACTGACCCAGGGACACTCCCTTTCCCTCTCCGGGTCTTTGTTTCTCTATGTACAATGCAGTGATGGTGGGGATTGCTTCTGTCCCATATGGGCATGATCTGTTCAGACAGCCAAGCTGACTGGGGTGAAGAATCCAGCAGAGTCATTCATTCACTCATTCATTCATTCATTCCATAAATATTCACCAAATCCCTGCAACATGTTAGATGCTGAGATAGTCTCCTACTCAGAGCTTTCAGTTTGGTGAAAAAGATCTTAAATATGTGATCACATGATGACTGACTACAACTGTGTGGGGTCCTACTGAAGGAAAAGTATGGGGACCCTAAGAACAGGGGATAAGGGAGGGCTTCCTTGAGGAAATGAGTTAGCTGAGACCCAGGTTGGATACGGGGTTAGCCTGCCGTGGAACCCAGCAGGTTCCACGTGGTGGGGAGGGAGCCCACCAGGCCTATTGCTCACTCCCAATTTCTGTCCCCCAGGGAGAGCCAGGACCTCAAGGAGAAATTGGACCCCGAGGCGTCATAGGGCAGAAGGTAACAGTGGTTCCCCCTCCCCCAGGGGCCTTTGCAGCAGTTAGCACTATTGGACCCAGGATCTGGGTCCCATCAATGGCTCCAGCACCTGCCTAGTCCTGCCCAGCCTATGTGAGGCCTTCCCACAAGGGCCCCAGTCTGCTGGTCTGTGAAGTGGAGCAAGGGACCTCCATGCTGGGAGGACGGGAATGGAGGGCATCCTGGCCAGCAGGGGCTGGGGGCTGGAGAGGGGGCTGAGGAGGGGGATGCCCCTGCTGAAAGTCCTCGGGTCATCCTTTTCTTTCTGTTTCAGGGTGACCAGGGTGAGAGAGGGCCTGTGGGGCAGCCAGGCCCTCAAGGACGGCAGGTTAGTGGAGGCCAGCTGTGAGGGGCAGTGGGGAGCAGGTCTGGGCACCTCATTTGATTTCCTGCTCTGGATTCTTTTCTCCTCAGGGACCCAAAGGGGAGCAAGGCCCTCCCGGAATTCCAGGGCCCCAAGGCTTGCCAGGCATCAAGGGAGACAAGGTACCAAATGGGGTTGGAAAATACCTGAAAAGAGGCCCCAAGTCCTGCGAGGGGGCCCGGGGGGTGGGGGAGGGAGGGCATGGGCCTGGTAGGTGCTTCCTGAGTCTTCCAGGGCTAGGGCGGGTCCCGCGCAGCCCTGCGGGGGCGACGCGGAGCTGCAGAGGGGTGTGGCTAGGACCGGGGTTTGAGGGAACCCGAGTGGACAGCGGTCCGGGGAGAGGGGAACTCAGCAAGTCCGTGACTCCCCGCTTGCTGCAGGGCTCCCCAGGGAAGACCGGACCCCGCGGCAGCGTGGTGAGTACCAGCGCCTCCCTCACCCACGTCCCGGGAGGAGTGCGGGGCGGCGGCGGCGGGCAGGGGTCCCCGGTACCCTGACTCGCTGTGCTTCCTTTGCAGGGCGCCCCGGGGGTGGCCGGCCTCCGGGGAGAGAAAGGCGAGAAGGTGAGCGGGCTGCGCCGGGGCAGGCGGCGGGACGGGGGCAGGGGGCGGGCCCCAGGGCTTCCGCGAGTCGTGACCGAGCTGCCTTGTACCTGCAGGGAGAGTCTGGCGAGCCGGGGCCCAAGGGACAGGTGAGTCCAGCCCCTGTCCCGCCTCCTCTCCTTACCCCCACCGTCCCCCACCAGCTCCCCTCCTCGCCACCCCCCACCATCTCCCCCCCCCGCCACCCCCCCCCCCCCCGCACCGGCGAAGTCTCATCCCCTCTCTGACCCCCCGCCCCCCGCTTCCGCAGCAAGGAGTCCGCGGAGAACCCGGCTACCCGGGCCCCAGCGGGGATGCGGGCGCCCCCGGGGTGCAGGGCTACCCCGGGCCCCCCCGGCCCTAGAGGACTGGTTGGAGACCGAGGCCTGCCCGGACTGCCCGGGAGACAGGGAGTGGCGGTGAGTGGGCCCGGCGGAGCGGGGAGCCCGTGGGGAAATCCCTTTGCGGGTCCTGCTGATCCCCCAAAGGCCGGGAGTTCCTGGAGCCAGCTGGCTTCCCCGAGGCCGGTTCCAGGCCCCACAACGGGCAGGCAGGGGGTGGGTGTGGCAGGAGGGATTTCAGTCTGATGCTGCATGGACTTCCGGTGGGAGCATGGGGGGCCAGCCAGGGGCTTCTTCCTGGAAGGCCTTGTCCGCCTGCAGGGTCGAGATGCCAGCGACCAGCACATAGTGACCGTGATGATGAAGATGATGCAAGGTGAGGGCGGCGCAGCAACCCCTCCTCTTCCTAGTCCAAGTCTGGGCGGTGCCACCCTTCAGCAGCTTCTCTGAGTGGCCTTGCCCAAGGGGCTGCAGGCCCGGGTACTCATTCCAGCTCTGCTTCGGAGAGGCCGGGAACTTCTGTACATCTCTGGCCTCCCTGGATCTTTCCGCAGACCGCGGAGGAAGGGGAGATGAAACACACAGCTTTTGCCTCTGCACATCCAGGGGCTGGGCCTAGGGACGCTCTGTTTCACTGAGCTGACCCCATGCCACAGACCTCTCATCTCCCTCCCCTCCTCCAGAGCAACTGGCAGAGGTCGCTGTGAGTGCCAGGCGGGAGGCCCTGGGTGCAGTCGGGATGGTGGGTCCTCCAGGACCCCCTGGGCCTCCTGGGTATCCAGGCAAGCAGGGACCCCATGGGCACCCTGGCCCTCGGGGTGTCCCTGGCATCGTGGGAGCCGTGGGTCAGATTGGCAACACAGGGCCCAAGGGTGAGTGCTGTTCTGTGGTGGGAATGGGGGCTGGGCGGTGTGGACTTGGCCAAGGCCGGGAGGGTTGGGTTATGGGTTATGTGGACTGATGGCTCAGCCTCTTGTTTTCTCTTTCATCATCTCCCCTCTCAGGATGAGGTACACTTTCCCCCATTCCCATAGCAAAGTTTTCCAGAAGTCCTATGTGACTCCTGGGCTTGCTTTCTCAGTGGCAAATTGATGGAAATGAATGTATTGTTTTATAACCTGGTTTTTTTTTGGGGGGGGGGTTGTTTTGTTACAGATCTGCTTAGTGGTGCCCCATAAACATCTTTCTGTGCCTCTGGAAGCTCAGAGGCAGGTCAGCAATGTAGTAAAGCAAGTAAACTCGAGTCACAAGACAGCTGTCTGTCTAGACTCTACTACTTTGTCCTTGTAGACTTGGACAACTTACCTGATAATCTCCCTGGACCTTAGATTTATCATCTGTAAAATGGGGGATTTAATAACAACCACCTCATAGCATTGTCCTGAGGATTACATGTGGGCGTAATTTATGTATGTAGAATTGGCACATAGTAAATGCTATGGTTATTATTAGTTGCTTTCCTGTAATGAACTTGATTGGCTGTCGCCTTCCATCCTGCCTGGACCTTCCTTTATTTAACCAGTTCTGCAGGCATTTCCAACTTTCCCCTAGTATAAACTAGCACAAACCAGGAATAATTGCTATATGAAATAGAAATGAAATAGCAACCAAAGTAGAAAAAAAAAAAAAACATTCTCCAGTTCTGAAAAATGACCGCTTCTTTCTTTACAGGAAAACGCGGAGAGAAGGGTGACCAGGGAGAGATGGGACGCGGGCACCCTGGGATGCCAGGGCCCCCGGGGATCCCAGGTAAGACCTTGACCCTGCCTAGCAGCCCTGGCCCTCAGCTCTGGGATTCCTGACCCGCAGACACCTGGGTCTCTGCCATGGAGGCCTCCTGCTTGGCCATCTCAGTCCCATGCCTCCAGCTTTGGCGTTGCTTTGAGGCACCCAGGAGCACTGGGTGGGGTCTGGCTGGGAACTGGACCACTGAGATGCTGAGGAATTCCTGGCTTGCACCAAATTCTGCTTCATGGAAGAAAATGAGGAGGCATTTGCTCCCCAAACTCACTGAATGGGAGTTGGGAGTGATGGACAATGTCATGCGACTCTCAGACCCTGTGTCTAGGCCTCAATCTCGATCTCATCCAGTCCCCACCTCCCTGAAAAACGGGACTTGAAATCCTATGGCTGAGACAGGAGAAGGCCTTGATGTCTTGGTCTTCTCCCTTTCACAGGACTCCCTGGCCGGCCCGGCCAGGCAATCAACGGCAAGGATGGAGCTCGAGGGTCCCCAGGGGCCGCAGGAGAAGTAGGCCGGCCAGGCCTGCCAGGCCCCGTGGGGCTGCCAGGCTTCTGTGAGCCTGCAGCCTGCCTTGGAGCCTCAGCCTATGCCTCCGCACGCCTCACGGAGCCTGGATCCATCAAAGGGCCATGAGCGCGAGGCCAGGATAGAGCCTGGCGGGCATCCTGGGGGGAAAGGACTGGGTTTCCTCTGGGTGGACATGCATCCCAGCCCTCAGACCAGGAAGCCAGCCTCCCCAGGACCTTCCATCTTGGACCCTGGAGTTCTGAGAAAAAGGAAATTCTAAAATATGGGGGAAGGAGAGGGCGGGCATTGGAATGAGAAGGTGAGGCCAACAGACAGGGCAAATGTCACTGGAGAGTCCCAGTTCCAAAGAGATGGGTGGCTTTCCTTCCCAGAGCCCAACTCAGAAGTTACCAAAACAAATGTCTCCTTAATCTTGCCATCCTCCAGTGGCCATCCTCTTTGGGGTGGGTGTACTGAGGTCTCTGATGGTCCCTGATCCCACCTCCTTCCCCTGGACTTGCTGGGTGACTGCTGGTGGGTGACTACCCTGAGGTTGCTGTCCTGAAGCCAGCCCCACTACTTCCTCCCTGCCTCCTTCCCATCTGAGTATTTAAACACCCATCCCCCTTCTCTTTCTGGCATGACCCCCTCCCACCCACCCACCCTGAGATCCATCCCGGCCTTTCTGTAAATAAAAGCCCCTGACTTGGGTACAAACTAGGGTGGGAGTTGCTGGGCTTCAATCCTGGTGGACCCAGGGTGTTGGGCTGTCACTGGGCCACCACTGTCTGGGCGGGATGGTCAGGGGCTCCTCAAGGGGAGGCATGCACCTTCCTCTGGGCACACCCTGAATTGTGAGCGTAAGGACAGCATGCTGCCTTTGAGGAAGGTCTGTGGGAAGGACCTGGGCTGGAGTCAGGATGTGACCTGCTGTGTAACTTTGAGCAGATCCCTTCACAGCCTTGGTATGGCTACCGCAGGGACTCAGCTGTGTCCCAGTAGGACACACCCGGGGTCTTGCCAGGGCCCAGCACACAGAAGGTCCTCCTGAGACCCAGCATGCACCATATGCTGGCCCTGGGGAGGAGCTGGTCGTGCAAGACTGAAAGACTTGGTTTTTGCCTTCAGGGGTTCCCAGGTCTGTGGGACCTGGATGATAGCAGAAGTGATATGCATTCACGCCACTCTCACTCGGGACGTCTAGGGGAGACTGGCTTAGATCTTATGGGTACCCCTGCACGCACTCCCAGCCTCATAGCTTTGTAGGCCAGCAAAGCTGCTTGGAGCAGCAGGAGGGGCAGGTAAGGGCAGGACGGGCACCTCAGACTCATGCAAGGATGGGAACTTTTCATATTCAGGGAGTAACCAACCTTCATGCTCCTATTACTGATTTGGGCATTTGTTCCCAAAGAAAGCATTCTGCAGGCCTCAGCCGCTCCTGAAGGCATAGGACTCCAGTCTAAGATCCAAACATTTGATGGAGTCCGGGCTCTCCTACACCTTACCTTAAACTTGGCACTAGGTCCCCATGCAAGCTGGGACACCCTTCTCTGAACAGCAGGGCAAAAAACTCCTCTCACTAACCCACCCCCAGTTTTCCCTCCCCTGCCCCCCACACCCACACAAACACATGTGACATCTCAGTCCCCTTAGCCCAACTGAGGGACAAACAGGAAAGATAAGCTAAGGCAGCCCTGTGGGACAGAGGTGGTCTCAGCCTCAATGCTTGGAGAAATCCTATATTACAGCATCCCAGCCTGCCCTCCACGTCCCCCAGGAGGCCCCACTTCCACCATGGCTACTGGAGCAGGCTCAGGGGAGGAAGGGAGGAGGGTGGGAGCAGCAGGGAGGCGATTTGTACCTGGTGGGGAGGAGGGACCCCCTTCCTAGGCGGAGTCACGCCTCTGCGGGAAGCCTTGGGCTTAGCCTTGAGGTGTCCTCAAGTGCTGGCCCTGGGCTTTCCGTGGGTTTCTCTGCAACTTTCCAGAAATCAGGTCCACTGGAGGATTTCAGTTACCACTGGAGGATTTGATTTTGAATCTTAGGCAGAGTTACACCTCATTCCTACGACTCGGGTATCTAAAAGGGCTGAAAGATGGCTGATGATTCCTCGGCACCAGTGCCTGATAGCCTTTCTAAGACTTCCTGGAGGCTGAATTTCACCAAGGAAAATTCCATGTCCTTAGTCTGATGCACAAGACTCCTAAGCCTCTCTGACCTCATGTCTACACTGCACTCCAGCCATGCCAGCGCCCAGGCGGCTCCCCACACAGGTCGCGCCCCTGCTGGGATTGCTTTTCCCCACAATCCCATCCCTGCCAGTGTCCTCACTGCAGGTCTTTACTCTGGAGTGACCTTCTCATCCCCACCCTGATATCCCAGATTCCCTTCCCAGGCTTTATTCTCTCCCCTTTGTACTTGTCACTATTCAACAACATCATGTAAGCTCCATAGGGCAGCAACTTTGGTCCCTCGTTTGCTGCTCCATTCCCCAGCACATAAAACAGTGCCTGGTGTGAGGAGCTAATCCCATGGTGACTACAGCAGGGAACCATGTATGCTATAATTGAAACTTGCTAAGAACTTAAGGGTACACACACACACACACACACACACTGAAAAAGCACCTGAAAAGAAAAAAAGTTTCAAAACAAACCAAAACCAAACAAAAAGATGCCTGGCACATAGCAAGCATTCAATACATAGGAAGGAAGACCCCACCCATCATTACACCAGGAAGGGATTTGGTCTCAGCTTGTGTGGGGCTGAGGCATGTTCCAAGATGGAACTTCTTTCACCATCAAGAAGGAATCTCCCCAACTGAACCAAGAGACAAAGTCTAGTGTAACAAAAATGAAGTAGGAACTCAACTCCCCTGTTTGCAATTAGGAAAAGGGGGATTTGGGACGCCTAACAGAGCATTGCATCAAGTCAGCCCAGTTCCCTCCAAAGGTTCAGTGGCTTCTCCTCCATCATGTAGCCTGTGAGGACTCAAGGTCCCAAACTTGCCCCTGGCAGAGCTCCAGGAGCCTGGAAGTTGGGATTTTGTTTCAAGTAATTTAGTAAATCACTAATCTTCCAACCCGGCTGGCCAGCATCCAACCCACGCTGCTAAAATCAACAGTGACCAGGGCTTTCAGCCAGAGCTCTGGTGTTTTACTGACACACAGGGTCTCGAGGTGGCTGCTGGGTATTTTGGCACTTTCTGAAGTGGGCATCGATCTGGTGGACCCCGGTGGGCTCAGAAGCAGACGAGGTCCTCTGCCAGGTAAAGCACTGCATAAGAACAGCAGAGCAGCAGAGAGGCTGTGCTTAACCAGAGGTTATGCTTAAGTGTCTGGAGAAGGGCAGAGATACTCCCAGGATAAATGGTGACCTTGTTTCTCATCCACAGGACAAGGACCCACACAGCCAGTTGCTTTGGTTTCTGGGCCTGTCATGTCGCCCATGAGGTCACAAAGTCTAGTGGTCTAGCTCTAGGTGGATGAGGAGAAATCTGTCCTATGTCCCTTTGCCTACCCTATCTGATAAAGACCTCATACGCAACCTGTCCCAAACCGAAGACTTGCCCCTGCCACCAACCGCTTCACCGTACCTTATCTCAGTAACTAGTTCTACCGTCTACCAGGTGCCCAGACCTGAAACCTGGGTCATCTTTAATTCCTTTGGCTTTCACCCCATCACTAATTCATCACCAACCAGGTCGATTTCTCCTTTTCACTCATTTGTTCAGCAAATATCCCTTCATTCCACAAATACTGCTGTCTCCCCAGCTTGAACGTAAGCTCTATGAAGACAGGGTGTTCTTGTCTGTTTTGCTCACTGCTGGATTGCTGGATCCTCTGGGCCTTCAACAATATACAGTATTTAGCAGGAACTTAATACCTATTAAATGAGTATTATTCGGGAAAATATCTGCTTTATTATGGCACACACACCCCTTGGGCCTGGCCCATCTTCCTCTGCAGGCTCATTTTGCCTAACTTCTTGCAATTCCTAAAATGCCCCACGTTCTGATGTTTTTACAACTGCTGTTCCCTGGAATGCCACTTCCGCCCTTCTTTAGTGGATTCCTACTCCTCTTTCAAAACTTGGATCATGTCCTTTGGTGATCCTCTCCTCCTTCCCAACTGCCAGCTTGGATAGGCACTTTTTTGTTACTTGTGATTATTGGCATCATAGCAATTACGGTAAATTATTAACAGTAACTATTGCTATTAACCACTTAGCTTTTATGATCAGATATCGTGCTCAGCACCCTGCCAACGTGATCTCATTCTGCCTCACAGCAACCCTGTGACACAGGTGTTATCTCCACCTATCATGTTAAAAAACACAGTAACTCTCTCGACGCCACTTCCACCTACTGCTGTCATCCCATAGTTTTGCTCTCTTTTATGGGAACAGAGTGTTGTCTGATTTGGCTACTAGCTTTCCACACTGTCCTTCTCAGACTGCTTTGCTGACTTCTCATCTTCCCTGTACATGAAGGTCAGAAGGCTACATGGCTTGTCCTTGGACTCTTGTTCTCTCACTCCTCTTGTGATCTCCTTCAGTTTCATGGCTTTAAATTCCATCCCTACGTCCCTGACCTAGACTTCACCTCTTAAATCAATCCATTTCTCCAAGTGCCTCCTCAACATCTCCCCTGAGAAGTCTGGTAGGCAAATCAAACTTAAGCGGTGTGCAGTGTGTGTCCCCACCTGCCCCTCCAGAATGCCCATCTCCTTCCTCCTTCCCCATCTGTAACTGGCAATTCTGTGCTTTCAGTTACTGAGGCTAAGTACACTGGAATCATCCTCTATTTTTTTTTTTTTTCTCACGCCCCATATCTGCTCCATCAGCAAATCCTGTTGGCTCAGCCTTGAAGATACACTTCTCCAACCAACCACTTCTCACCACCTCCCTGACTACCACCCAGGCACCATTTTTAGTGCTTGCCAGAAGTACTGCAGAGAGCCTCTTAAGTAGTCCTCTGGTGGCACCCGCGTTCCTCAACAGACCAAGAGTAGTGATCCTGCTAAAACAGAGATTAGATCATATCACTTCTTGGCCCCAAACCCTCTGATGCCTTCCTCTGCACTCTAAGAAAAGCCGGAGTTCTTACAATGGCCTACAAGACCTTGTAAAATTTGCCTTATCCCTACCTCTGATTGTATCTCCCACTATTTCTGTCTAGTACATTCCATCCCAGCCGCTCTGGCCTTCTGGAGTTTCTCAAACACACCAGACTGACTCTCACATCAAGCCTTTATACTTGCTATTCCCTCTTCCTGGAATGTTCTTTCCTAAAACACCTGCTTCCTGCAAATCACCTACTCACTTCCATCAGGTCTTCTTTGTTTGGACATTATCTCTAGCAACATCTTATGAGCACTGTATTTTAAATCACAAGTCCTGGTGTGCCAGGGGGGCTCGGGTGGTTAAGCATCCGATTCTTGGTTTCAGCTCAGGTCATGATCTCAGGGTTGTCAGATCGAGCTCCACATTGTGCTGTACGCTGACTGTGGAGTCTGCTTGAAATTCTCTCTTCTGTCCCTTCCTTTGCCTGCATGCACATGTGTGCGCTCTCCAAAATAC